TGTATAGGTCAAGAGAAGCCATAAGAGTAGAAATCTCCATGACACAAAGACTCTAACTAGTACTGGGGGTATACCTAGGTGGTATAGTGCTTGCTAACATGCAAGGAAGGCCCTGGGTTCCACCTCCAGCACCAAAAATAAATAAAATGGAATGGAAGGGAAGGGAATTGGGAAGGAAGGAAGGAAGGAACGAATGAACGAACCAAGAGCAAGCCTGTAACCATTCCCGCCAAGGGTATGATGGTCCCCATGTTCAGCCAACACTGCCAACCCAGCGGCCCTAACTCAACCTCCTGCACAACTGTCACAATCCAGTCTCCTGGATTCTGCTTTCATAGTGTCTCCTGGCTCAATCCACCCCCCTAATTCGCTGTGGCTTTTTCAGCCTCAGAGACTCAGTTCCCAGATGGTCCACCTGTCCATGGCCTCCTCCCACTCTGACCTGCTAAAAACATCTTCCCAGGCACACACCAAACAATCCCCAGGCAGCCTGAATGCCATAAACAACCTGGCCCCAGACTGTTTCCAACCAATCGCCTACTCTTTCAATCCACCAGTTTTGTGGACTTGTCTGCCTCAACAAGATTAATCCACTCAGTGCCCCCAAAACACTCTGCCGCTGCAAGGGTGCAACCAGATACCCTCCCCTGTGTCCCTGGGGGCTACCCAAGCCTTCTCCATCCTTCAAAGCCTGTTGTCCCGGCACCCTCCCACCCCATGCACCTGGAGGCTCCTCTTTTGCAGCCCCCAGTCTCATCATGCAGTCATCTTCTAACCCCTGCATTATTCCTGTTTCCTCTGTGTCTGTCCATATTTTGTGGGGACTTTAATCAACAAAGCAGGAAATAAAAATCCCCCTCTGTATTTCCTATAATAAAAAACAATGCACAGGGTGGCCATTCATTTGTCATTGGTTATGACTTGACACTGGCTCCATTCTGGCCACCCTAACAATGAAAATGACAGCAATCCATGCTTTTCCACAGTGCAGCTAGGTGATGGGGAAGGGCGCTGGCACACAGCACTACTAGGCCACAAGAATAGTCCATGGCAGAAGGCCATGAGCAATAAGAACTAAGGGCCAGCCCTTCAGAGACGTCTGCCCAAAGCTTATACCCTGAAGCACCATGAGGCCAGCCCTCTAGAGAGTCACTTGAACTTAAAGAGTTAGAACTGACCAAACTCAAAGATGGATTTCCATTCTTGGGCTAATACTTCACTTAGGCATCAAGCTAGGAAAGAGACCATTTACAAACTGACTTATCTTTGAAAATATGAATCCACCCGCTTCTGGCCACCAGGACAGAACTACAAAACACATCTTCCCCTTCCCCCATTCAAGAAGCACCTGAGCACCCAGCAAGGTGGACACAGAGCTCCAGGCAAGACCAGGACTCCAGCCACGCACAGCTGCACACATAACCAGACAGGCAGTTCTCAGATGCCACTCAGAGGACCAGCCGCTGGCCCTGCAGCCTCAGTTCCACCTAACAGCGCTCATTTAAACCCAGCCCAGAAGTACTCAACTCCTTTCCAAGAACAACAAAGGCTATTTAAAAACACAATCTAAAGTAATAAACTCATAACCTAAACAAATAATCACCTGGAAGAATTTGGCAATATGCTTCTGAAACTGTCAGGAGAAGGCTGCTCCCAGGAAGACGCGCCCCAGTCCAGGGACGAAGCGAGAGAGACTCCACACCAGCTCTGGAGCTAGAAAGGGGCTCCCAGCACTGAACTCCTTTTGACCAATCTACAACAAAACAGCAAGCAACCCCCTGGAATTGATAACGAAGGGTTCTGCCCCTAATTGCAACTAAACAAACCAGGGTCAAAGCTACTCTTAATGCCTACAAGATGAAGCAGCCCGCAGCGGCTCCAACACTCTCCACGTACGTACGTACGAGCTGGCCGGTTTAAACGCACAAGCGACTGTGATCTCTCACTCCACACGTGCCTGTCAAATCAGCTGTTTAAATGACTCTAGCCAGAGTGGGAGAGCAAGAGGGAGGGAGCGGGGTGCAGCATTCCCCACCACAGGGACCCTGGGCAGGTAGCAGCCACTATCTAGCCCAGTGGGTGTTGGTAGGACAGAAGGCTGAGCTGCCGCCCAGTGCCAGGTGTCAGCAGCTCAGCTCCAGGGCAAAAGCACGTGGGTTTCCAAGGAGCTACACAGAAACCTTGCAATGACTAAGAGCCAGATCAGACACAGAACTGTCCTTGGGATAACAAGATTTGATGTCCCCCACTGTCCCTGAGAGTAGGGCACATGTGAAATGCACAGTGGACTGGAATTCCACAACCCCAGTCCAGCACTTGATTCTGTAAAGTAAATAGCATTTCGAGTCACCCTTTAAACTTGTTACTAACTTATTACGATTTTCACCCTAAATGTTACCAGACTCCTCTTCTCTTAGACTTCTTAAAGTGAAGAATTTTCAACATATCCAATAAGTTACTTCTAAAAAATATTAAAAGACTGTCAATGAAACATGAGAGTTACCAAAAAAAGAGGGAGGTGGACCTACAAATAAAAGCACAGGACAGGACAGCCCACGAGTCTTGGCTGTGGCACCAGAGCCAGATTAAGCTGGAGGAAATATTTCGGCATAATCCAATGCCTGAGGCCTGGCAGGGTGAGCACCAGGAGCCTGCCACTGATTATACAGATGGCAGCCGGGTGCCCAGGGACACAGAACCCCAGAGGCAAACCAAGAAGGTGGCCTTCACAACCAGCCCTAGAGTTTGGCATGCTTTCAATTCCTACACAAAAGGAAAGCTGGTTTCACTTCACAGCCTAAGAAACAACTGTATACCTATAAAACACCTAAGCCACTTCTCCCAGCAAGCCTGCCCACACTGACTAACCACTGAAGTGCCCAGACTGGAAGTGTCGCTTTCAGTGAAAAGCACATAAGCTGCAGAGGTAGTGGAGGATAACAAAGATTCACCCCTGTATTAGGATCAAAGTTTGAGGGGAAACAATCTACATATCCTGCTAAAATCACTCCCCACCCAGTTGATGGAAGACACAACCCCACACCAGCTATAGCGAAATGACACCCCAGCTGGGACCCCCTTGACTACAGCATACATAAAATTCCTTCAACTGAGCCACGGCGAGTTTCCTTGGTCACCTGAATTGGGACCTTTCAAATTTGTAAATTTAAAGAGAGTTTCCCTTTTTTTTTTTTTTTTTTTTTTAACATCTACTCCCCTTCAAAACAGAAAATTTCTCATTGAGCAAAAATGGATGGAATACGGATCTCCTAAAGCCAGAGTGATATGCACTGTTAGCTAAAGTCCTGTCTCCAACTGGCACAGCCATCCTGGCTCCATCCCAGGACATTTGAAAGTACCTGATCTTCAGTTACTACCAGTGTCTCTAGTCTTCACATGCCCACCTCCCAATAATTCCAACTTACAGCCCAGTGCCAGGTTTTGATTCTCTCTCCAATGAGGTAGAATACCCAAGAGCAACCCATACTGATAAGCTAGACCGACCAGATACAACCTTCTGAGACAACACTTACCTCTGGATAGCTAACAAGATCCAAGATGAATGCCAAGGCTGAAAGCAATAAAACAGACACTGGCCTTACCAACAAATTGAGAGCGCAAATGACGGAAGCCCCTTTTGTTAAATATTTGAGTCTAACAATTCATCAGGAGAGCCTAAGCAGGCACAACCTCAAAACCACAGAAGTGAACCTTGCACACAGGCCTGTAAGTCATGCCCAAGAACTGACCAGGTTGAACAACAAAATCTGAACTGAGCAGCACCCATAATCGTCAGAGTGGCACATGGTGGACAAGCCTTGGTGAAATATTACACAACGTGGAAAAAAATTCAGTGAGCTTGGATGAAGGAGGAACCTAAGCACACATCGTGGAATACAGATGCCTCAGAAGACATCACTGTGGAAGGCACAGGAGGGGCCAGCCAGCAGGGGTGCCTGAAGCCACTGGGTGGATGGTGCCCAACACCCAGCGACACTCCAGTGTCATTTTCTAAGGTGTTACATGTACATTTTATCAATTCCACTTAAAGTCAGGTATGTGGCAGCATTTTTCCACCACCATACAGAACCTGAGAGAAATTCAACATAACCAGGGAACAATGATCGTAAACTGAAAATTCTAAAAGAAAGGAAAGAATCATTTTCCAACTGCTACTTACACAGCACAAAAACGAGTTTAAAATAAAGCTGTGGGCTGGCTCAGCGGGACAGCGCTTGCCTAATGTGTAAGGCACTGGGTTATAAGCACCGCATATAAATAAACAAAAAAAGGTTCATTGACACTAAACAATATTTTTTAAAAATAATAAAGCGTGTATTTAATCTGAGACTCACAAAACGTGTTTGTGCTTATGACTAACCCGAGGCGGACTGAGGCACAGGCCACTGTCACACCGAACGCCTGCTCAGCAAGTTCTCAAAACTGGTCAACTAACCCTTTTCTCCAAGGGCTACCTCTGCCCTTCAGTCTTGCTCTAGAATCAGTCATTTATCACCAGAATAAAAGCAATTAATTCGTGCTTCAAATTAAGAGGCTTACACCAGTGTTAACCCCTAACTTTGGATTGAAACAAAGCACCTAAGGTTAATTAATAGAGGAAGCCAGGAATCAAGGCACTGGCGCACCACCTGGTTTGCAAAGTTCCCGGAGCAGGAATCAGACCGCCTTAATCCACTAAGCACCTTAGGCCTCACCAAGAACTCCGTCGCAGGATCACCCAGCTCCGCGACCAGAATTACCGGAGGGATCGCTAAGATCCACGCAATCCGTGCAAGGCCCAGCTGCGGGCCTGGGAGTCAGCGGCCCAAGATCTGCAACCACCAAAACCGGTGGCGAACGGGTCGCCTGGGCGTCCAGGGCGTCCCTCTGCGGCGAGCCTCGCCGTAGGCGCTCTGGCCACCGCTCGGGACCGCGGCCAGCGGGCGGCCGGCGCCCCCGCGCCAGGCGCCCTCCGCCCGCGCCCCCCGCCCGCCGCGCACCTAGCCCGTAGGCCTTGGCGCAGATCCACTGCAGGTTGGCGGCGATCTTGGCCCGCGCCGCGTCGTAGCGGTCCAGCGGCACCAGGTCAGCGCCGTCCGGCGGGGCCTCCATCCTCCGCCAGCCCTCGGCGGCGGGGCGGCCTCCCGCGTCCACCATCCGCAGACAAAGGCCGCGGCGGCCCGGCCGCAACAAAGGCGCCGCCGCCCTCCCGCGCCGGCCCGCCGGGCGCACGGCCCTCGCCTCACGGCCGCCGCCGCCGCCGCCGCCCGAGCTGTTGTTGCATGATGCGGGCGCCGAGCCGAGGCCGAAGAGGCGCGGAGCGGGCCGGCGAGGATGCGGCGGGCGGGCGCGGGCCGGGGGCGGGCGCGGGCCGGGGGCGGCGGCGGCGCGTGCGCGGCCCCGGGAGGTGGCGGCTGAGGCGGCGGCCAACGGGCGGGAGCGAGCGCACCGCCGCTGCCTTGCGCAGGCGCACTGAAAGCCACAGCAGCCCCGCCCCTTTCCGCAGGCGCAGAGCGCGCCGCCCGCGGCCCCGCCCCCGGCCTAACCCTGACACCCCCGGCGTCCGCAGGCGCAGTAGACAGCCCGAAAGCCTGCCCCGGCCCCACCCCCGTCCGCAAGGGCACAGGACGCGCCTGAGGCCCCGCCCCCGTCGTCAAGCACAAGGGAAACACCTGAAGCCCCGCCTCCAGCCCCGCCCCCAGCCGCTGTGGGAGCGCGTAAGTCCCCGCCCCCTCCGCCAGCGCGTGGCACGCGCCTGAAGCCCCGCCCTTCCACCCCGCCCCCAGGTACATTGCGCACGCCTGAGGCCCCGCCTACAGTCCCGCCCCCAGGCGCAATGGAACGGCCCTAAGCCCGGTCATTCGTCCCCGCCCCCAGGTACAGTGGGACGGCCTGAGGCTTGGTCCCCTCCACCACCGCCGGCTCGGCTCCTCCAATTCGTCGAACACCAACTCTCTTGGACAGCGCCTTCCACTGCCCATTCTCCGACGTAGCTGGGTGGGGACCCCAACAGTGCTTGAAGCTTGGGGAGACTTCGAGCCCCCCAACTGGACAATCCGGGTGAGCCTACCCCCAGGTGGGCAGTTGTGTGGCATCCCACGTAATCCCACGCTCGCGAAGACGGCGTGCGTCTCCCTCCCGAGCGGGCGTGGCTTCATTCTCAGCCAGGCAGGGTCTGGACGATCCGGGAGACAGTATCCCTGTGAAATGAGTGCTGACCTCGAAGAAGAGCTGGCCCACGGGCACCAGCCCCAGGAGATCAGAGGACACGCAACGCCTTGGAGTGGCCACTTGGCCCCCTGCCTCCCTGGATCTGAGGTTCTTAACTTCTGTGGACTTGGTAGAGCCCTCCTGTTATCAGAAAGAAGGCTGTGCTGAAGTGGACCCCGTCTTTCAGATGCTGTCCAGATGACGTAGGGCTCAGGAGCTGAGAGTCCAGGCAGAAGAGGAGTGACCCGCAGTACACTGGGCGGTGATGGGCACTATGTCACATCAAGAGGTAGATAGAACCCGTCCACCTGGAAAGCCCTACGAGGGGACATTTACTCCCAGTCAGGGGAGGAGGTGAGGAGTAGGGGGGACAGCAGATCCTACAGGGTCAGAACCTTGTCCTCCTCTAGGTGAGGTGGAGTGCCATCAAGGGATTTTGAGCAGAGGGAGGAAGGATTCTGAAGGGTGAAGCAGGCGTCACTGACAGTGGGACAAGTGGTGAGAAGGAAAGAGGTCAAGGAGGACCTGCGGTGCTTGCTCAAGTGTTGGTCTCCTATCATGAAGGAACTGGGAACCAATTGATTAGTTCATATTGTTTCTCAGTGCATTTCCCAGCATTTTCTGAACACAGAGCTTGTCTTCTGTGAAGGGAGCTAACCTCTTTTTCCCAACCGAGGGAGGAGGGTGCTTTATTTCTTCTTGCCTAAGACCTGGCTTGAAAGAAGCTCCAGCTCAGGGTCAAGTGGGAGCGTGAGAGCATATGTCTTTATCCCATTCCTGATCTGGAGGAGGCATCCCACTTACCACTATGATGCTGGCTGTAGGTTTTTCATGGATGCCCTTTATCAGACAAAAGTTCCTCTCTATTCCCAGGTTTTTGTTTTGTTTGTTTGGAATGTGTGTGTATGTGTGTTGCTGGGGATCAAACCCAGGGCCTTGTGCGAGGCAAGCACTCTACCAACTGAGCTATATCCCCAGCACCTCCAGGTTATGTCTTTTATCATGAAACATGGTTGGATTTTCTCCAGAAAATCCAAAATGCTTTTTTTTGCATCTATCTCCCCCCGCCATCCTGTTACTGTAGTGTATTTTATTGCTTGATTTTCAGTTATTGACCCTCCCTTGCATTCCTAGATAAACTCCCCTTGGTCACGACATAGATTCCTCTTGATATGTTCCTAGGTTTGGTTTAGTACTATTTTGTTGGGTTTTTTTTTTTTTGCATCCATGTTCAAAATAATACTGGTTTATAAGTTCTTGTGAAGTCTTCATCTGGTCTTGGTATATCAGTTACCACTGGCCTCATAAATCAGATTGAGAGTGTTCCTCATATATTTCTGGAAGAGTTCTTAAAGAACTGGCATTAATTCTTTGGTAGAATTCAGCATCACAGCCATATGGAAATGGGGGTTCATGGGTAACTGATTATTATTCACTATAGGTCTGTTCAGATTGTTTCACCTTGAGTTAGTTTCAGTGGTTAAGTCTTTCTAGAAATGTGTCCATTTTATCTAGTTCCCAGGTTTTGGGCCTAAACAATTCTGATACCTGAGTAATCCTTAACTAAAATAGGAAAGGCCAGAACAGGGAAGTGGGGCAGAATCAAGAGTTTTCAGCATGACTTTGGATTTGGGGATGCCCTAGCATCCCTGGAAAGCAATTCTGTGGGAGGGTGGGGACAGAGGAGGATAGAATCCCCACAATGAGTATGCAGCTTCCTTCCAGGAGTTTCACTGTGGAGGAGAGCAGAGAAGCTGAGCTGAACCAAGGGGAGGACAGGGTGCAGAAAGAGGGGTGTGTGTGCAAACTGGACATTCCAGAGGCGGGTGGAAACCTGATGACAGAGGCGGAGAGTTGCTGGCGCCATAAGACTAGACACGAAACTGGGAGGAGGCCCCTCTTTTTCATCTGGTAGCAGCGTGAGAGAAGGCACTGGGACAGGAGGATGGGCTGGGGCGGGAAGCCTGGCTGACTCTGTCCTAGTGGCCCTAAGACTGGCTTAAGGGCACAGCAGGGTACCATGGGTGGCAGGGGACAGGAGAAGGCCTGGGATAGTTAGTTGTCTGAGCTGCAGAGATAGACTATGATGCCGTCATCATTCTTTGTCTTCCCAGGAGACATCTCATAGGTGGACACACCTGGAAGGGAGGCTGATGTGGCATGTGCCCTGAGACCACCAGAGAAGGGCTGAGTCACAGGGCTTGGCCAGGGCAGAACCCTCCAGGGATGCGGAGGGATATGCAGGGGTCAATCGTGACACTGGGGCCACATGGGGCAGGGAGCAGATGGAGAACCTGGCAGCCCAGAGATCCCGTGGGCTTAAGGAACTGCAAAGAGTGGGAACAGAGGACTCTGGGTCAGAGGAATCATCTGGGCTGCTAGAATTGCATGTTTCCACCTGTTCTGGCACTGGAAAGACAAGCGTTTTGTCTAGATGCCAGTTCTGGCTCATGTGTGCTTTAGGAGTTACCCTTTAGGAAGCTGTCAGCCAGGCCTCTGTACCTTGCTCAAGTCTGAATATAGGAGCAGCATTTATCTCTATCATCCAAAACAAACTTGCTGCTAGAACCCAGGACTGGTTTTGTTTATCTGCAGCAAAGGGGCAGTTTGCCAAAGGTGCCATGAAGACTCTGAGAGGATGCAAGGAAATGGCCCCTGCCTGCAACCCCAAACATCTTCAGGATGGAACCAAAGCCATCAGCCCAGCAGGAGAGTGACGTCCCAGCCCACCAGTCTGCAACTCCGAGCAGGAGGAGCCCCTGCACCACGTCTCTCAAATATCCCAGCAGAGAGCATTCTCTCCAGCATAGGTGAGCTTGGCTGGCTCCCCTGACCTTCCCTTTCCTATAGTTCTGGTTCTAGGCTCCACCTTCCATCACATCAAATTTCAAGAGACCCAAATCCTGTTCCAGCCCCTCAGAAAAGAGAAGCACCTGGAGGAGGTCCAGCTTCCAAGCCTCTGCCAATATTCACGCCCCTTGTCTCATGCTCTGGCCAGCTGCAGGCTGCCCTGGAATTTCCTTATTTATAGGATCCTCTGGGCACCCACTTGACCCAGGATCCCAAGCAAGCTCAGGGGAATTCTAGCCCAGGGCCAGGGCACAGGCCAGCACCTGCAGTGGAGATGCACCCTGTCCCCAGAGACACAGCTTGCAGGAGACGCTAATGTACCTCTGCATCAGCCTGGCAGCTGTCTTTCATTTGCAAAAGTAGAAATATCATCTTTGTATTTTTGGTTCTGATTTGAGAGGTATGTATTTTGGTCTTAACTGAAATCCAGCATCATGTGAGAGCGCCCTTCTGTGTACTTCACCTTCCTTATAACCAGGGCAGTCTGTTCCTCGAGGTAGACAGGGCTGCCCCCAAGGCCTGGTGTGGCCAGTGTTAGAGCCATCTGCCCAACTGGAAATGCCAGTTGGTTCCTTGTGGGTACAGAAAGGTCATGTAGGATGGTGGTATGGGATGATTTTCACCCAAAAAACCCTTACCTGAAAGGCATGGGGGGGGGAGTGATTTCTGGGGTGGGGGACCTGGAGGAACAGGCACAACTTTGAATTCCTTTGAGCTTTTCATTAGTCAGTGATTCAGGAGAGGAGAGGAAAGGCCTTGACTCTCATTGGCATGTGGAGAGGCAGAGGGCTGGGACAGGATGCTGCTGCTCATGGGAGTGACCTGGAGAGGTTCCTCACACCCAGATGCTCCTGCGTGCAGAGAACTGGCCTGCAGACTGGCACTGTGGCGGGAGTCACACCCCAAGGTGGGCTGTGAAACGTGTGGGGACATGTGCACCTGTGTGCTCATGCACATGTCAGTACCGGCTTCCTTTGCTTGGCTGTGGCCCTGAAGAGATTTCAGGCCACTCTTGGCATGTTTATGTGAGAAGCTGAATAAGGGAATCAGAGAGGATGGGGGGAGGACCTACCGCCTGGTACCGGCTGTGAGAGGTG